GTGGAATATTATTTAGTGCTAAAAAGAAATGAGCTATCAAGACATGAAAAGACACAGAGGAAACTTTACTAAGTGAAAGAAGCCCTGAACAGACTACTGTGTGAGTCCCATGCTCTGACATGCTAGAAAGAAAAAACTATGGAGATGGGGAAAAGATCAGTAATGAGGGCTTAGGGGGGAGGGATGAACAGACAGAGAGCACAGCAGGTTTTTAAGAGAAAGAAACCATTCTGTGTGATATTATATTGGTGGATACACATCACTATATTTTTTCAGATCCACAGGATGTACACCACCAAGAGTGAGCCCTCATGTAAACGATGGACTCTGGGTGATGACATGTCAATGTGGGTTCATTGATTATGACAAATGTCCCACTGTAGTGAGGGACATTAATAGCGTGGAAGGCTGTGGATGTGTGGGGGCAAAGGGTATACAGGAACTCTCTGTACTTTGTGTTTAATTTTGCTGTAAACCGAATACTGCTCTAAAAAAATAAAGTCTATTTTTTTAAATGATTCCATATTACCAATATATTCCACCCTGTAAACAGACTAACGCAAGAAACCACATCATCATCAGAAGATTGCTTCATGAGCATGAAATATGAACTAGAGGAGTTCGATAAACGGAGTATCTAATGGTATGTGGCAAAAGTATCTATTGGGTTGTCGCAAAGTCATGAGGCATTTTTGCAATGAAAAACATAGAAAAAATACGTCATGACTTTTCCAACAAACCAATAGTTCTGTGTGTCTCACAAGGTCAGTGACAGGAGCCACCTCAAGTCCACCAGCTGAAACCCCGGGACCCATCTCCACACTAGGGCTGAACCAGGGGTGCAGTTCCCTTGCCTTCCCCCCCACTCCCCGAGAAGTCCAGGATGGGCACTGCCAATGTCTGCCTTGTGATCCTTACGCCCTTCTTAGGCTAACCAGCTACTGAGAGAACACTCTTTTTTAAGACATATAACTGAATTCAGATCTTCCAAGGATGGGAAATTGAGAGACTCTTCCATCTCCATTAAGCGATATTGTTCATCTGATTCATTCTGTGTTGGTCTGTACAAAATGACTCTCAGGGAGGTCACCTGCCTGGAGCCTGCAAATACAACCACTCATGGCTGAAACAAAGGCCAAGTTTCAATACTCCAGTGGCTGGAATCATGTTACTACAAAGCTGGTCTAAAAAACCTCAGGCTCTTTGAAATGATGAAGTAGGTTGTTTTTGGCACTCCCTTAGGCCACCCTGAACTAGGAATATCCCCGTGCCACCTGAAGATGGTCTCTTACCTTGTAACATGTAATGTGAGAATGTCCTTAAAAGATCTGCGAGAACTTACAAAAAAAAAAAAAAAAGATCTGGGCCAGCCGAGTGGCTCATTGGTTAAGAGTTGGCTTGGGAACGTGAGCTCTGAGCAGCAGGGCCGCTGGTTCGGATCCCACATGGGCCAGTGATGCTGCTCCCTCTACCGCTAAGATGATGAACAACAGCTCGACCTGGAGCTGGGTTGCCGGGAGTCACCGGCGACGGCGTAGGCTGCCGTGGGGCTACAGTGGGGCTGCCGTAAGCTACCGTGAGTGGTTGGCAGCCGGCGTGAGCTGCCGTGAGTTACCCTGAGTGGCCGTCCAATGGTCGGCAACCGATCTGCCTCGGCCGGGAAGAGCACAATGATCACAATACCAACATGGGTCAGTGAAGCGACGTCCTCCACAACTAGACTGAAGAATCAAAGGACAGCATCTTGTCTGTTCCCCTTCCCTGATTCCCCAACGCTGTTCCCTCCCCCAATTCCCGAATAAAATCTTAAAAAAAAGAAAAAGAAAATAACATGTACCACCTCATGTTTGCTAACCCACTATTAATGCCTCCCTCCACCCACCTCCCATTATTACTGCATCTGTGTGCACCACTCCAGCCTGCCTTTAATTGGAACTTACTTCCTACAGCTCCTGGGATACTGGCTTTCATAGGTTAGCCCTCCACTATGGGCCCTCTTTTAGAATTGTCTTCACTGGGAAAAGCACACCTTCCCAGGGAAAACAGAACCCAATGACAGATCGTCACAGAGGTTTAAACGCCCAGCCCCTCAGCTCAACCCGGAAAGACTAAAAGCCATTCTATCTTCAGAGTGCCCCACAGGGCCAGCTGCAACCTGGGATTAGACCACATCGTAGCCCAGCTTCTGCCTCCATCCACCCAATCCTGCCCTCTCCCCTACCCTCCCTTCCATTAGTATTGATCCCAAAAGTACTTCCTAGTAAACTTTCTGAACACTAAACTTCCTGAATATGAATCTCCATTGCAGTCTGCTTCCCGGAGAACTGGGGTATTGAACATTGATCCAATACTTTCAGACAGCAATTTGGCAACATATATCAAGAACCTTAAAATATTCATATTCTTGAGAAACAATAAGGTAGAAAGAGCATGAACTCTGTGAAGCACTGATTCAAATCCCAGCTCTGTTGTATGAAAGCTTTGAGACCTGAGTCTCAGTCTCCTCATCTATAAAAAAAATAGCATCTATATTTTAGAATTATTATAAGATTCAAAGTAGAGAGCACATGTAAAAGCACCTAGCACACAGTGACTGCTTATTAGCAATTAAGATTGCTAATCAGCTGACTTTAAGATTAAATGTTACTCTCTCTTCCCATTTACCAATAGTCCCAAGCAAGGAAAAATACCCTCTCCATATTAAGTATCTGTTTAAAGACTTCCACAATAACCTTAGGCTCATGAAGGAAGAGTCCATATCTATCTAGTTTGGTGGTTCTCAAACCTTAGGAGTAGAATCCTCAGGAGGGCTTTTTAAACCACAGGTTGTTGGGCACCACCTCCAGAGTTTTTGATTCAGTAGTTATGGGGTACGGCCCAAAATTTGCATTTCTAACAAGTAACCAAGAGATACTGATATCCAAGAGGTCCGATATCCCACCTGGAGACCCTCTGGTCTAAGTGAATCCCCCTGTACCAATTCAGGCCAGTTCCTAATATATAGAAGATATTCAAATATTTGTTGATTGACTAAGACATATAAATAAGTCTACTACACTGTTATTTATAAAAGTATAAAGCTAGAAATTAATGTCTAAAAATGAGGAATAATTAAATAAACTATGTACTATACTATAAGTAACCATTAAGAAATACAAGTAAAGCCGAGCCGAGTGGCTCAGTTGGTTAAGAGCTCACTCAAGAATGCGAGCTCTGGGCCGGCCGAGTGGCTCAGTTGGTTAAGAGCTCACTCAAGGGTTTGAGCTCTGAGCAACAGCAGTTCGATTCACCGCCCGAGCTGAGCTGCCACTGGGCTCAGCTAAAAAAAAAAAAAGAAATACAAGTAAAACCATCAACAAAATGAAAGGCAACCTACCCAATGGGAGAAGATATTTGCAAATCATATATCTGACAAGGGGTGAAAATCCAAAATACATAAACAACTCACACAACTCAATAGCAAAAGAAAAAATCTGATCAAAAAATGGGCAAAGTATCTGAACAGGCATTTTTCCAAAGATGACATACAGATGGCCAACAGGCACATGAAGAGGTGCTCAACATCACTCATCATCGGGGAAATGAAAATCAAAACCCAATGAGATTTCACCTCCACCTGTTAGGATGGCTAGTATCAAAAAGATAATAAATAAGTGTTGGTAAAGATGTGGAGAAAAGGGGACCCTTGTGCACTGTTGGTGGAAATGTATATTAAAGCAGCAATTATGGAAAGCAGTATGGTAGTTCCTCAATTAATTAAAAAATAGAACTACCATAGGCTTCAGAATTCCACTTCTGGGTATTTATCCAAAGGAAACAAAAACACTACCATGAAAAGATATACATATTCCATGTTCACTGCAGAATTATTTACAATAGCCAAGACATGAAAGCAACCTAAGTGTCCATCAATGGATGAATGGATAAAGAACATGTGGTATATATACACAATAGAATATTATTCTGTCATAAAAAGGAAAGATATCTTGCCATTTGTGACAACACAGATAGAACTTGAGAACATTATGCTAAGTGAAATAAATAAGAGAAAGACAAGCACCATAAAAATCTCACTCATAGGTAGACTCTTTAAAATAAGAACTCATACAGAGAACAGATTGGTGGTTGTCAGTAGGTAGGGGATGATGGACGAAATGGATAAAGGGAGTCAAAAGGTACAAACTTCCAGTTATAAAATAAGTCCTGGGGATGTAATGTATAGTACGGTGACTATAGTTAACAATACTGTGTTGTATATTTGAAAGTAGCTAATAGAGTAGCTATTAGAAGTTCTCATCACAAGAAAAAAAGTTGTAACAATATATGGTGATGGATGTTAACTAGACTTATTGCGGTGCTCATTTCACAATATATACAAATATCAAATCATTATGTTGTATCTGAAACTAACATGTTGTATCTCAATTTTCTGAATTTAAAGAAATACAAGTAAAATAATGCTGTAGATAAACATATACCAAATAAAAAGTAAAAAAGGTAACACAAAATTGTATTTATATCAATTCAAACTACATTAAATATATATATATACATGGATTAATGGCAAAAGATTTCAAAAAGTTACTTAGTTTTTGAGTTTAGGATTATGAGAATTCAAGGTTTTTTTGTTAATTAAAGTTTACTCAGGAGATATTTTAAGGTTGAATTAATATAAAATGGCAACACTAAATAATTAAAGTGTATAATTAAGTAAAATCACAGGATACTGTCACCAAACAAAACTACAGAGGGTGACAAAAAAGTATATACACATTTTAAGAAAGGAAAAAACTGTATTAAAATTGTAATACTCAACATATACCGATAACAAAAGATAAATACAAGTCACGTGTACACATTTTTTTGACACCCCCGCTATATACAGGAGGAATCTATAAATTGGTTGCTAGTTTCCTCAAAATTGATGTTATAAAGCACTACTGAAAAGCCTACACAGAAAAACTACAAAATAAATAAACACATACAAAATCATACTTTACCTGCCACAGGAGGGACAATGCCATAAAAACGTACTGTTGCATGTTCTCCGTTAACATCAACTCTTTGGCCAATAACATCTGATGTCAAAGTGCCATTCATTATAATACAGCCAGAATCCAAAATATGAGATCTAGAAAGAAAATTACAACATTGACAAGAACTTAATTCTGTAAAAAATAATTTTTTTTTAATCTCATGTAGATATTCATGAGGTCAACATTTCTGACCAATTTAGTCTTCCTATTTTGGTGAAGTGAAGAACTCTCATAATTTGATTTTACTTTACTGTCTAACTATATTTTGACAATCTAATATATTTTTTAAATCTTGTTTAACTCCAGTTAGCTCACATCACATGACTTGTCTATTCAGTCATTTACTGAAGGGGGTGGGAAGGAAAGAGAATAGAAGAGAAAGGGATAAAGTGATAGAGAAAAAGGAAAGGAAACAGGCGATATGGACATTGTTCTCTTCTCAGGAAGGGACAAAAACACAAATCCACAAATATAGGAAGAAACACCTATGAGGAACAACAAATAAAAAATTAAACTCTAATAAAAACACAAAAACCCTAAAAATAAAGGTCTTAAAAGGAGCCTGAGAGAAAAGCATCAAATGTATAGGAATGACAACTAGATCCAATGCCCATTTCACAGGAAAGCAGAAAACTGAGTGAGGAACTGGCTACAGGACATCACCACGATGTGGTCAGCCAAATCCAGAGAGTGGGAAACTCTACAGGACAAACAAGTCAGTTTCTTCAGATGAAACACAAGGAGAAAAAGAAACAGGGGAAGAACAAAGAGATTAAAAACACTTAAGTAATACATTAACCGATTGCAATGTATGGAGTTTATTTGGATCCTAATTTTTTAAAAGTGTAAAAATTTTTTTAAATATGAGAAAATTGAAAATTTGAACACAATTAGATATTTGACATGAAAGAAAAACTGTTTCTGGGGGTTACGGTCAAGATGGCAGAATAGTTATTTTAAAGAAAAAGAATACTATTTTTAGTAAGGCTAATAATAAATCAATTTATTTTGAAAAAAAGGGAAAGAAAAAAAGGGAAAGGATAACTGTTAAATTTTTAGCTATGATAATGACGTATTTTTTTCTGTTTTTCGTTGCAAAAATGCGTCATGCTAGTCTCTTAGCCTTTCTAATAATTTACTTTCTGATATTGTGATCTTGTCAGGATCTAGAAACTGGACCCATCTTGATTTCAAAGTCAATACCCTCTCCCTCTGGCCAGTCATCCACTGGATGCCAGTTACCGGCCCAACCTGGACCCCCCACTGCCTGGTGCTAACACCACCACTTTGATCACCCCCAACCGAGCCCCCCTCCCCATTTTAGTGCCTCCTCAAATTGTCCTGACGTCAGCTGCTCACTCATTACATTTTTTCTAGTTGCCTGCACTGGGCCCTCTCCTATTTACCTAAACATGAGTGGCATGTTGCACACTGTTCCTTGGTTAGGTTCATCTGGGTGCCAACCCAGCCTTGGTAAAGAAGAATGCCTTTTATTTAAATACACTTGTTCACTAATTAAGGAAGACAGCCCATTTAATTTTCAGGTGCCTCTACTTGTTAGGTAACAGTTCTTTAAAAGGAGATGAAATGTACCTATCATTTCCACCCCAGGATTTTAGTCCTGCCCTTTGCAGCTATCGAGAATCAAACCACAGTAATACCTTGGTTTGCGAGCATAATTCGTTCTGGAAACAAACTCGTATTGCAAGGCATTGATCATTTACCATGTTAAAATGTATTAGAAATGTTTGCTCGTCTTGCAGAACACTCGCAAACTAAGTTACTCGCCATCCAAGGTTTTACTGTATTTCCCTTTCCAGCTGACAGTTAAATATTTGAAGGCCGGCAATAGTTTCCAGTAATTTCCAGCAGATTCTGCCCAGCGGACCCTCCTCTTACTTTAATAAATCTTCCTTCTATATTTCTAAAAAAATAAAAATATTTGAAGGCCACCACTATGCTATTATTTCCCCTTGCTCCTCTTCCTGTACCCACCTCCCAGAATGCTTTACCAGAGTAAACGTGAATTCCAAATTCCCCTCCATAATTCACTGACCGATTATTTTCTTAATACCTAAAAATGAAAACCATATTCCAAACGTGGCTTGACTACATGTAGGTTCAATGGTCTCAGCATCATTTATTTAATAATGTAGCCTAATATTACATTCCCTTTCCATGGGAAGACTGTTGCTTACTATTAAGATTGCAATGAACTAGACTCCATAGCCATTTCTGACTTACTGTCACCTCCTGATCATAAAATTAAAATGTTTAAATTTCATACAATTACATTACCCTAAAAAAGTTTTCAGTAGTTTTAAATGCCCTTACAATTTTTGTTAACCTGTAAACAGAATTTTATTACGATATATAATTTCTGTTCTGCTTCTTTTATTAACACTTAACACTCTATAAACATTTTTCTATACAAACAGAGAATCACTTTAATCACGTTAATGTTGACATGTGCATACCACAACTTAATCATTTCTCTATTGTTAAATGTTTTCATTGTTGACTATCCCCCAAAAAAACAGCTGAAAACATCTTGCATTTTTTAATTTTTACTGTCCTTTGAAGTATTTCCTTGGAAAAAATTCTCGAGATAATTATTCAAAGTAAATGAATATGTTTAAGATTCTAGAAAGCCATGGCCAAATTGTCTATCAAAAAAGAATTATTGGGCCAGCCGAGTGGCGCATTGGTTAAGAGTTGGCTTGGGACGCCAGCTCTGAGCAGCAGGGCCTGGATTGGATCCTACATGAGCCAGTGATGCTGAGCTCTTTACAGCTAAGATGGTGAACAACAGTTTGACCTGGAGCTGGGCCACCGTGAGTTGCCAGCGACAGCATAGGCTGCAGTGGGGCTGTAGTGAGCTACCTTGAGTGGCTGGCAGCCGACGTGAACTGCCGTTCAATGGCCAGCGACCGATCTGCCTCAGCAGAGAAGAGCACAATGATAATACCAACATGGGCCAGTGAAGCGAGGTCCTCCACAACTAGACTGAAGAACAAAAGGACAGCAACTTTTCTGTTCCCCTTCCCCAATTCCCCAATGCTGTTCCCCTCCCCCAAATCCCCAATAAAATCTTTTTTTAAAAGTTAGTTATTGACACTGACACCAAGAGAAAATCTATTTGTTTACCTGTTTCTGCAGTCTTGTGAATTCCCATTAAGGGCTTTCAAGTCAGGTCTTCTCTATCCTGCATTTGTACAACTAATTTTTGAGGTAGGACTTAATACATCATAATATTACATATAAATGTAGAACATCATATGTTTATATATATTGAACATAGATAACCCAACATATAAACTATCTCTCCTGGCTTTGTCCTGTGTAATTTTTGTAAGAACAAAGACAAAAAAAAGAATCTAAAACACTGACCAAAGACAGAAACCCATGCAAACACTGGTAAAATTGTTCAGTTACAAGCCCTCCTGTGACCCAGCTCACATTCAAGAACATCATGAACTCTGTGAAATGCTTCACTGCAATCAAAGGACACTGTCAGTCGGGGAACATGCCATGTCGAGGAGACAGAGGAGGAACAGGGTAGGAGGAGGGAGGCTGTCACTTTATAGGTTACACACCTCAGAGTCATATGAATATTTTTGAAATGGGTAGTTGTTATTTTTTTTCTATTAATAATAATGAGGAGGAGGAAAAGGAGAATGATGATGGAAAGAGGGAGGCAATAATGCACTGTTCTCTACAAATTTCCCTGGCTCACCAGGGAATATCAATCCAAGGAAAACAGGAGTTAAGTTTAGCAAGACTGACTAACCTCACCTCTTTCCAGTTCCTGAGATTACTAGTTTCTAAATGTTCATGACATCTTCCTAGAAATTGTTAACGCCTCTTTTCATTGCTCTTCAAAGGTTATGAACAGGAATTTTTGCAATCATGTTGGCCAGTTCTTTTACAAATTACTGGATGCAATTTCTCTTGGGATGGATACTAACTCAAATAGCCAAATAAATATCATCCTACCTTTTTTTATCTTCAACATGCTTTTAATCAGATTTTTTTTTTTAAGCCAGGAGTCATTCTCCATTTAAAGGACCAAAGATAAGAATTTCAGTCAATCTGCCATTTTTCTGTCATCTCTTCTACTACATTAAATATATCTTAAAAATATGAATCAAATGTGAAAAATATTATGAAATAAAGGCAACAAGTATATGGGGTGTTCATTGTATTTTTCTCTCCATTTTCCTGTGCTTGAAAATGGTCAGGATTAAAGATAAAAGAAACATATTACTACACCCAAGGAATAGACTTTCTTGTACTATTTTTTACTCTAAATCAACCCTAAAAGCTTTTTTCTTGTCTTCACATTTTTTCACAAGTTGATTTTGAGGCTTGGCCTTACTGAGTTTTCCCAAGAGGTCTGTTCAAGTGTGTAAAGGTCATTAGTCAGAGACTGCCTCTTTCTCCATTTCAGTAATCCTTTTTGTATTTTTCTCTGCACATCTTTCTCACTTAATTTTTTTAACAGATGATACTCAGAAGTATAAAAGGGATATAATGACAGTTCCCCTTTCACTCCTGCAAGTCATTCTTTCCTCCCATTGGCAACAGCTTTATTAGTATCTCATACATACTTCCATGCATATTTCATGCTTGTACAAGCAAACATATGCTTTCTTCCTTTACATAACTGATAGCATACTACTATATATGTGGTTCTATTCCTTACATTTTCATTCAATAATGTAGCCTAGAGATTTATCCACAGTCATGTCGGGACCTTTTAAATTTTTTATGGCTGCATATTTGTATAGGTCAACCATAATTTATTTAACCAGTCCTCAAACTCATGGACATTTAGATTATTCCCAAGTTTTTAGTGTTACAAACAGTAGTGAAAGGATTAAGCCTGCACATTTATCTTTTTACACTGGTGCAAACATATCTATAGGAAACATTCTCAAAACGGATACTGCTGCATCAAAAGGGATGTGCATTTTTAATTTTGACAGCTAATGACAAATGTTCTTTTTTTTTTCCGAAGCTTAAATTCTTTTTTTTAATTTAAATTTACTGGGGCAACACTGGTTAATCAAGTGTACAATTCTATAATACATCATCTGTACGTTGCATTGTACACTTACCAAAGTCCAGTCTCCTTCCATCATCATATATTTGACCCCCTTTATCCTCTTTATTCCCCCTTCCCCACTCCCCCTCTGCTAACCACCATACTGTTGTGTCTGAGTTTTTGTTACAATCTAGTAGGGGGATAGACTCAAAAGCACAACCACAGAACACATGGATATGAACAATACACAGGGTATTATGGTAGCGGCATGTGAAGGAATTAGGTAGAGTAGTATTTCAGAGAGAAAATAGCATGTGAAAATGCTCAGGAGGAGTGACATGGTGAGATTTCCAGTTTTGCTATGTCACTTTGTTTCTAGCACAGAGAGGTAAATTTGATGAGGTGAAGACTGGACGCAAAGGGGCCAGTTAGGAAGCCATGTAGTCAGTCAGTCTAGGAAAGAGAGGATCAAGTCCTGAAGTGATTAACCAGAGATGGAGAAGAGACAAGAGATTCTAAATATATGTGAGAAGTAAAACCATCAGGACTTGGCTGGGTGAGGGTAGGACAGCAGGGGTCTAGGCTGACCCTCAAGTTCCTGGCTAGGGTGCCTGGTTTGCCAGTATTGCCAAGTGAGAGAAGACATGTTATATCTGAGATGCCCAGGGGGCATCTAGGAGATATCCTCTGAAACTCAGGGACCAGGTATGGTCTGAAGATACAAACTGGAGTGTCATCTTCATGTAAACGATGCTTGAAACCATGAGATGAAATCTAGCAGGGAGACTGTATCCAGTCAAACAGACTTGGGTTTTGAATCTTAGCTCTGCCATTCATTATCTGTGTGACCTCGAGTTAAGTTACTAAACCTTGTGATCCTGGCTTTTCTCATCTTTAATTGGGCATTATTATTTAAATGTCTACCACAGTGAGGAGCACATGGTAGGTGCTTATTTGTTATTCTAGCTCCAGTACTTCCTCGCAGTGGGATCCCTGCTTGGTGAGCCTCAGGGTCTCATCTGTAGCTCCTGCTAGGTTCCATGTTGCCCAGTGGAGTGGGTGCTCAGTAAATGGTTGCTGAATAAATGAAGAAATCCAAAAAAACTGAAACAATGACTACTAACACAACAGGTGAGATGATTAAACAGAATTTTTAAAAAACTACATATGGGCCGGCCGAGTGGTGCGATGGTTAAGAGCTGGCTTGGGATGCCAGAGGGTCCCGGTTCGGATCCCACATATGAGGGCCAGTGACACTGCC